AATTATTTGGCTATAAGAATACACTAAAAGGCATAAAGTGCACGCTACGCATAAAAGAATGCAAGCGAAAATTAATACCCTGTTGAATAAAGCCAATGCAATATTAATATGTCGACTTTTCTTATTTAATAACATCCTCCCCCCGGTGAGCGCAGCTCGAATTCCTTAGCAGGTTCTGTCCTAAATGTTTATCGTAAAGTCCAAACATCCTTGAGAATGTCGAGGCGCAGGTGTGGGTTTTTCATTTTGACCGGATGTGGTCGCAGTCGTGGATGCGTGCAATGTTTCCTGTTTGGCTGTTTTAAATTTTCTTTTGACTAGCATGAACACCAAAAGGCACAAAACTGTAACCAAAGCAGTGTACCCAACCGTTATGTGGTGCGCATTTTGTGCTTCAAGTTTGTTTGGGAGTTCTAATATGCGTTGATTGGCCAATGATGATTGTAAGGACGTGAGGTTTTGTATTTGTGTTATGTATTTCTCATCATCCCGTGATTGAAGAAGAGGCTTTATATGTTCTGCTGCAGCTACTTCGGAAATTTCTCCCAGGCTAGTGTAGGACGAGCAAAGACTCGTCGATATCAACTGATCTGCTTGAACTGATATAAAATTATGTTTGAGTATGCAGTCTGGTTGGAGTGATAACAGTCCTGATCCTTTTAAAATCACCTGAATGATTTCTTTTCCACATACTGCGGTTGCACGAGATGAAACTGACGTGGCATAAATCCATTGATTTTTATGCTGTAGTGATATCCATGCAACCTCGTTTGGTGTTTTTCGCAGTTGACAACTTGACTGGGTGTTGTTGTTGAATAAATTTACTTCACATGCGCATTTAGATGAACCGTGACTATAACGAATCTGAATTTTAGAACAGATGTAATTTCCATTTCTAATATCCACACAAGATTGAAATTTGGAGATGCTCAGCGGGAAATATTGACCGAGAGCTGTGTTTATTGCCAAAACTGCAGCACACGGACTTATTTCAATCATAGTCCCATTAGTCCAAGTAGGAATTGGTAGCAGATTGAATAAGTCATATCGATCATGCTCTACCAGAGGCAATGTGATGCTGAATACAACATGCTTTTCTGTAAGTCCTCCCTTAACCGTCATGAGTTGGTATAGCTGGAGTAAATCTTCTTGGTTTACAGGCAGTTCCAATGGTGCTGATAAGTGAAGTTTAATTTTGTTTACTTCGTCTTGCAATTGACTGGGCGTCAGCAGAAGAGGACCTATTTTTCCGTGATGAGTATCTATTAGAACGGCTAATAATGCAGATTGCATTCTTTGCAAATTGGCTGCCATAAGTGTGAGTTGGATGGATAACGAGGAAAAGATTCGAAATAATTTTCTTGGTATATCTCATGCGTGTCGTTGCTGATCCTCTGGAATATTTGACTCACTTGTTGATCAATGATGTCGAACTTCCTCTTGACCGCTTTTTGATCCTGCTTCAAAATGTTGATGGTTGAGTCCACAATGGATGTTTGATTTCTGATCAGGTGCAGCAGATGTAGTTCATTTTCCTTAACGTGTGTGATTGTTTTGGACATTTGTTCTGCATATTCTGCGTCCTGTACTCCAAACAAAGAATGAGCGATATTTCCAACTGCATCAATGGCACCTCGTTCATTTGACTATTGCGTAATCTAACTGCAACTCTTTTTCAGTCTGCTCAAGATGTGCTACCAGAGAAAGACATGAGCTTTTTTGTGTGATTTCTTGACATAAATAGCGCAGGGCCCTTGTGCCATTTGACAGCGCTGCTAGTTCTACCAAAAATCCTTCCATGTCATAGTAGATTATTGGGTTCCAATCAGTGGTTGATATGGCTGTTGAGCCTATTCCTTCAAAATGAATGCCAAGCCTTGATCCAAATCGCTTATTTTGAAGTTCAGCTCCTAAAGCCAGTGGTAAGATGAGTAGGGTAATCAGAAGTGTAGCAAGTCCTTGGTGTAACGAAGGCTTATTCCTCCTTGATGGAATTTTGTCTTCCTCGAGCAGTTTGTTGGTTGATTGTCGTTCTGTGGCATCATTTGTTTCCTTGGGCAAGGGTGCAAGCCGATGAATAGGCCTCTTGCAAGTGCCACTAGCAGTTTTTACATCAGCCACTCTCACTACACCGTCGTTTCCTTCATATACATTGATGATTCTTCCTAATGGCCACTGCAGTACCGGTGTGTTGTCTTCTTTGATGATCACCATGTCACCTACGTTGATATTGTTGTGTTGTGTCTTCCACTTATTTCGCAGCTGAAGGTCCGATAAATATTCGCGGGACCACCGATTCCAAAACTCGCGTTTGAGGTGAGAAACAAGTTTCCATCTTGTTAATAAATTTGTTTGCTGTGGCCTAGACGTTGGATCAACTTGGGCATTAAGGGGTTCTCCTATGAGGAAGTGGCCTGGAGTTAGATCGTTAGGATTGTCGGACATTGGGCTGATTGGTCTGGAATTTAGGATTCCTTCCACCTCGATGATTACCGTGTCCAATTCTTCATACGTTAAGGACGTTGTCGAGGTGCTTCTTATTAGTAGATGCTTAGCTGATTTTACCGCTGCTTCCCATAAACCGCCAAAATGTGGAGTCCTAGGAGGTATAAAATTAAATGTTATTCCCTTTCCGCTGCAATGCTTTACTCGTGATGAATTTCCATAAACAAACTCAGTAAGTTCAGAAAGCTGGTTTTTCGCGCCTACAAAATTGGTTGCGTTGTCACAATATAAATTTTGACAATGTACTCTTCGGCTTATAAATCGTTTTAAGGCACCAATAAACGCATCCGTCGTTAAGTCGCTGACTAATTCCAAATGCACTGCCTTTGTGGCAAAACAGCAAAATACCGCTACATAGGCCTTCTGTGGTTTCTTTCCCCTTAACTTGAAGTGAACCCAAAATGGCCCGCAGAAGTCCACGCCTGAGTTGATGAATGGTCTTGCTGGAGTTACTCTTGTTGAAGGCAAGTTCCCCATAATTTGACTCATTAGTTTTGGCTTAGCCTTGGTGCATCTTACGCAGTTGAGCACAATTGATCGTGTCAGCAATTTTCCCTTTATAGGCCAAAATCTTTGCCTTGTGTAAGCTAAGAGCGCTTGAGGTCCACAATGACGGTTTTCTTTATGGATCATTTGTACTAATAATTTGGCGAGTGAATTGTTATGTGGAATTAGCATAGGGTGTTTGGCATCGTATGCAAGTTCTGATGCTTGTAGACGCCCTCCAACTCGGATGATACCATTATTGTCCAGAAACGGTGACAGGCTGCGGAAAGAACTGTTTTTGCGAACTCCGTTGTATTTTTTAAGGTGCTGAAGCTCTTCCTCAAAGTCCGATTGCTGCATTGTACGAACGATTACCACAAGCGCCTTTTCCAATTCGTGTACGTTCAAGGGAATGTCTGACTCCCGCGATTGGTTTCTGGCCTGGTTGATAAATCTCAGCATGTAGCCTGTCACTCTTTGTAATGTTTTGAAAGAGCCATTGTGTCGAATGCTATAAAGTACGCTTCCTTCATGTCCAGTGGTTGCAACAGCGACTGATGTCACCCCTTTCCGTTCCATGTTGATACCGTCGTCGATTACTGATAATGCCTTGGAATACTTTGAAAGCCAAGTGTCTTCTTTACCAAGCAAGATTGTTGGCCCATAAAACCACATATTGCAGGTTTCTAGTCTCCCCGGCGGTAGTCCTCGTGATAGAATGTCAGCTGGGTTGTCTTTTGAGCTTATATGCCGCCATTGTTCAGCGGTAGTGTGCTCATTAATAACAGCTATACGGTTTGCCACAAATGTTTGGTATGATGCTGAGGATGAGTTAATCCATGCCAACACGATTTGTGAATCAGTCCAAAAGTATGTAGCCACATCGTCTAGCTTAAGGTCTGATTTGACCCTTGTAGTTAGTTGAGCACCCAGTACTGATGCACAGAGCTCAAGCCGAGGAATAGTTTGCCGTTTCAAGGGTGCCACACGAGATTTTGCACAGAGCAGCCTCACTTGTACTCGTCCCTCATCCAGCTCGGATCTAATGTAAATCGCAGCACCATATGCCTTTTCTGATGCGTCGGAGAAGACATGAATTTGAATTTTTGCTGGGATGTATCCTTCAAACACGTGCCGTGAAACTTGCAAGTTGTCCAATTTTTGCAAATCATTTCGAAATGTTGTCCATCTCTCATTCAAATCGGCTGGTAATGCTTCATCCCATGTCAGCTTAAGTTGCCAGAGATCTTGAATAAACATTTTTGCCATGACTACAATTGGTGCTAGTATCCCCAACGGATGGAATAGCCTTGCAAGATCGGCGCTGACTGAGCGTTTAGTTGCAAGACTGCAGCTTCCTAGGCATACCTTTACGCAGAATCGATTCATCTTAGGCATCCATGTTAACCCCAACGTTTTAATAGTTTGATTGATGTCATTGTCAAAGTCTATGTCAACTTCTTGTTCCTCCCTGCTAACATTTTGCAGTAATTGTGAGTGATTGGCGCACCATTTTCTTAGGTTAAGACCTCGTTGTTTTAAGATGTGTATCAGTTGCTGTTGGATTTCCATCGTCGTGGATAAGCTGTCTGACCCACCGATTCCGTCATCTACATAAAAATTGTCCTGCAGAAACTGAGCACCAAGAGGAAATTGTAATGCATTTTCTTTTGCAATTTTCTGCAAACATTTGGTGGCTAAATATGGAGCAGATCTTGTCCCATATGTGATTGTATTTAGCTGATAATGCTTTATTGGTAGGCTTGAATCCTTTCGCCAGATGATAAGTTGGAATTTGCGTTCGTCCGGTTGAATGAGCATCTGTCGATACATTTTTTCTACATCTGTGGTGAAGACGAACCTGGGCAAACTGAAGCGAAGTAAAATGGTGAAAAGCTCGCTCTGAACAGTGGGTCCGGTATACATGAGGTCATTCAAAGACATGCCAGTGGACGATTTTGCTGATGCGTCGAACACCACACGTAATTTTGTAGTGCGGCTTTTGGGTCTCACAATGCAATGGTCAGGAATGAAGTACTAGGTTTACTGATGGAATCAATATCCACTTGCGTCATGTGCCCCGAGTTTTCATATTCCTCCATAAATTGTACATATTGATTCTTTGTCTGGAGCGATTTTGCCAGTCGACGTTCTAAGGCCAGGAATCGATTATACGCCATCCCATAGGATTCCCCTAAGCCCTCCGGATTTTCATGAAATGGTAGCCTTATCATGAGTCTCCCATTTACATTGATGAGTGTATGTTGTGCGAAATGAGCTTCGCACTGTTTTTCTGCTACGGAATGTTGTTTTCTTACAGGAGGATGTTCCTCAAGTTCCCATAGTCGAGCAATGGCTGCATCTAAGTTGATGTCATCGTTGGTACAGATTCCACATATTGCATTTGAGATGTAGTTGCCACCAACTTTTCCCGCGATGATCCATCCCAGCACTGTATTTTGCAGAATGGGTAGGTCATCTGACAGTTTGATTTGCCCTGCTGCCATCAGTTGGTTGTAGAATTCCGCCCCCAACAATATATCAATTTTATCAGGACGATTGAATGATGGATCGGCTAACATGATGTTCTCAGGAATTTGCCATTCGTCGATCTTGATTTCTTGCGACGGCTGCGGGGATATAATCTGGGGCAATACCGCTGCCTCTAGCCGCGTTGTAAAGTTGTTGATCCGAGACTGTAGCGCCACATTGACTCGATGCTGTATCTTAGTGCTCCTTGACCCGATGCCACTAATGGAGATTGATGATGGTTTAGTTGAGATGCCAAGACGTTTAACCAATCGTTCAGTCACAAAATTAACTTGTGAGCCTGTATCGAGAATTGCCCGACACTGCACTTCTGTTCCGATTCCTATAACTTTCACCATGGCAGTGCTGAGTAGTACATACGTGTTTGACTTTGTGTGCTTTGCGGTGGTAAGTGACGCTGCTTCGTCTTTTGATGGCGTTGATTTGGTCCTGGATGGTGTAGTACTTTGCGATTGCGTTGAGCTTGTAGATTTGTCTTTGACACCCATCGCTTCCATGGATTAAAAGTGTTTCTCCAGAAATTGCAGGAATTCCTTGAGTGTTTGTACCTCCCGTGGCTTTGATAATGATTGTTCGTACCGCAAACGAGTCGGTTGATCCAGTTTCTTTAGTAGAAGGGGGAGCAGAAGTGGATCCCATGTTGATGTGTTTTTTGACATTGTCCATTGATGTGCTTCCAGGTGTAGTAGTTAGCTCATGTACTAACTTGCTCACCAGCAAGCGTTTGTTGTTGTAACGCTCCAGAAGCATGAACCAAGCTGCATCAAAATTCTCTCCTGTTGATGCGAAATGTTTAATTAGATTTCCAGCCTCCCCCACTAAGTGAGTTTTCAAGTACCACATTTTCTGAACTTTTGAAAGAGGTTGATTTATTACCAGTTGCGAGAATAGGTCATGAAATTCTTGCCATTTTAAATAGGTGCCATCGAATTTTGGAATTATTATCTTCGGCAATGAAATGGATTGCAGTTTAACCGGAAGTTGGTTTGAAGATTGCTCAGTATGGGAGTCACTATTAGCTGCTTGCAAAGTACTCCATACCTTTTCCTCAAGTGAAATGAAGATATCGACCTTGTAGCCCTGCTCGGTTGGGTTGTCGAACATCTCATATATCCTGAAGTGAATGTCTTCTATATTTTCCCACAGTTTATTAATTGTTGGAACACATTTTGGTGAAACGTTGTCGTTCAGTAACCGTCGCAACGACGCCATCATTACCCCTTGTCTGCGGACTAGTTTAGTGTACTCGTTGGAAGCTGCCTGTTTGGTTCCAGTATCATGCCGTGCTTCAGTGTTGACTTTTGAAGCTGAAGCATCATGTTGGTACGTACTTCCTTCATAAGTTGTTAAGCGCAATTCTCTCGTCGGGGTTTGAGCCAATTGGAGCACTGCGGACTCGAAAATCTCCTTGTACTGATTTACAATTTCCATTATATTGTTATAGTAGTCCTTTGTAAAGTAGTCGTGATCCAGCTGGGGGTTTTCAAGCAGTCGAAGTTTGTTGTCAGTTGTTTCAAACTTCGACCACTCGCTGTCCAGTCTTCTCAATCGCTCTTCGTAATAGCTGATTGACTGCTTCCTGGATTGCGGGTCCTTTTTAAAGTTTCGGACAATTGATTCGATATTGCCGCCCGTTTCTCTTTGTTGTCTGGCCAAATCCTCGAAACGATCCATTTTTCTTCTTTTAGACTAGTTTTGTGGCTCCTTAAACTGCTGCACTGGCCTTGTTTTAGCTGAATGTCCTTTCACAGGGGTCACCAGAATGTTCAGAATAATAGCGATTACGCCAAGTTCGAACACTGTTGTTTGCTTGATTGCTTTCAAGTGATATTTATGGAATTAATGATTACGTTTTTATACAAACTAAATGCTTACATAGCTAAATAATAAGGGCATAAAAACTTTGGATCGTAAGCAAAATTATTGTAAAGGCTTTATTCCCACGTTTTGGTTTACATAAGCATAATTAATGCAAATGCTTTATCCCACGTTTTTGTTGACATAAGCACATTTTGCGTCTACTTTCATTTGCGTGCATTAATCAACAATGTCTTATATGTAACTTGACACATGCCAAATTATTTGGCTATAAGAATACACTAAAAGGCATAAAGTGCACGCTACGCATAAAAGAATGCAAGCGAAAATTAATACCCTGTTGAATAAAGCCAATGCAATATTAATATGTCGACTTTTCTTATTTAATAACAAATATTCTAGCACAAACTAAAACCAAAACAACAAACAATATGTTGACTGGTATTGGACCAGGGTTAACTTGCGGTCATAAATTTATAGTTTCTCTTCTAATTAGAGTATCTAGAATAACGTCCGCCTATTAAAAAATGTGAAAGCAAAAAGTGAACATTGGACTTTTGGACACTGAAAGGGCTTATTTCAGCCATAGTACACTGTAGCGATTTAAAATTAGTTTCAAAGAAATGTCTTCAATGTAAAATCAATTTTTGCTTGCTGTTATTGGTTAGTAGATTCCAAATGGTCCGAGGCTCGAATGCCGTCAGACGCATGATGTTAAAATGGTGATAAATAGTTTTTTTTTTGTGGTTTTAAGGGCGTGAGTGAATCGGTAGCAAAGATTTGTGGGGAAATCTGGTGAATGATCTGATGAATCTGCTGTGTGAAATTAAATCTTTTTTGACAGCAGTAAATTTTTGACAGCCGCAGATTTATGCGGTATAAAATATCCTAAATTGAAGTGAAATGAATATTTTAAGAAAACATCGACCATATCATTATTGCAATTCATCAATTTAAACTTTTAATCAATTTAATTTTAATCAATTAAAGCTTTTGAAAAATAAAGGAAATGTATTTAATATAAATATTTAATATAGTGTAATACTTCTTAATTTTGCCGCCAAAAACTTCATCTAATATCGTGTTACGGTGTTTGTGGTCGAACTCCTCCTAAATGTGGGTATGAGAATCGGATGTAAAGTATATTTCATAACGCTAGGTGCAGGGGGCGTGGCACCTCCCATAGAAACCGAATTTTCAATATTACATATCTCTGGAAGTGTTCATGATCTAGTTCTCGACCCGAAAACAGTCGCATACTCTTGGAGAAAAATTGTGGTTGTTGGAAAACGGGGCGTGGCACCTCCCAGAAAAACCAAATTTTTCATACTGCATTTGTCTGGAAGTGTTCGTGGTAGAGTACTCGCACATGGTATGGAGATATATGAAAACAATTGCATACTCATGGAGAAAAATTATGGTTATTGGAAAAGGGAGCGTGGCGCCTCCCATACAAATCGAATTTTTCATATTGCATATCCCTGGAAGTGTTCATGGTAGAGTACTGGAATTTGGTATGCAAATATATGAAATCAATCACATAGTCGTGAAAAAAAATTGGGGCTATTAGAAAATGGGGCGTGGCACCTCCCATACAAGCCGAATTTTTCATACTCCATATCCCGGAAAATGTTCCTGTAAGAGGGGTCGAACATGGTAAGGAGATGTGGTACCTTCAGCATCACAACACGCGACATACATATGTACAGAAGTATCCAGTTTACATTTAATATTATTTTAACAGTATGGCCACACTAAGCATTAATTTGTAGTATTATTCATTTTCTGTTATCCCGTTGATTGGAAATAAATGACGACGAACGACTGTTGTTGTTATTGCACTGTTCCGCAATCACATCTTTTCGCTTTCATGGAAAATCGAAAGGTGTAGGCGCGGACAGGCATAGCAGCACAGACCAGTTCTCATACGATTATAGAGAAGGTGACACGTCATTTTATTAAGCAGCTTCAACGGGTTCCCAAAGTGGTGATCCCGGCGTGACCAAAAAAACCGTTGCATCAACAGTTACCCCGGATACTACGGACTTAACTGAAAACACCGCGATAATCAAGGATGCCGCGAAAGATCCAGATGAGAATTCACCCACGGGTACAATAAAAAAGGTTAACTCCTTGGCAATGAAAATCGACATGCCAGCAATCGATCGGAAAAACATCGGGGTATGGCTCTTGAGCCTGGATTACTGGTTTGCAGCAATGGGCATCAAGAGCGATACACAAAAGTACAACAGCGCGATGGCGGCATTAGGCCCACGCGTACTGCAAGACTTCCGCCGTAGGGGAAGTGCTCGAACAAGGACGATACGAATTTATCAAACGCCGATTGATCACCTTTTGCACTGACAGCCAGCAACGTCGACTCAACCGAACGCTGAACGAGACACAACTTGGTGACCAACGCCCAAGCCAACTACTTGCAGAGATGATGAGATTGGTGGGCGACACCATGAGCGAATCTGCAGTAAAAAACATGTGGGCAAAACGCCTATCTATGCTCAGGCCGCCGTAGCCGCTTGCACAGGACCATGGAAGGAGTATTTAAAAATTGCAGATGCCATCGTTGATACGATTAGTCTACAAGTGAACAGCAATACGGGCGACCAGAGTAGCCACATAACACCCGCACCTACAGCCGTCGTACAAAGGCAGTCAAGGGGAGAATATGACGACCTACAAAACGCCGTATACGAGCTAACTAAACGCTTGGACCGCATGAGCGTCGAACGCGGAAGGCAACGCGAACGAAGTCGTCTGAGTTACCGCCGGCAATCTCAAAAGCACCGACGAATGCTGGTGCCATAGTAAGTTCGGCTCAAGTAGCAGAAACTGCAGACCACCGTGCAGGCATTACAAGCCTAGTAACAATGATAATAGTGCAAAATGAATCAACGCGGTCGCTGGCGCAGAAATGGCAGCGGTCGCCAGCGTAAACCGCCTCACAATCAATGACCGAAAATCCGCCATTTCTTATCGATGCAGGAGCCGACGTTTCCGTCCTACCCCACCTTTTTACCGCAAATACACCGGCATCGACGCTTAAACTTTACGCAGAAAACGGCACACCCATTTCGACGTTCGGACATCTACGCTTAAGCCTCGACCTCGAAACCTTGCGAACGCACAGCACCTCTACTACACAGGATCGAATCGAGACGACCGGACAACCCGTGTCCTCCCGTCCACGCCGATTGGAGCCAGCGAAGCTGAAAATAGCCAAAGACGAGTTTGAATTTCTTTTACGACAGGGCATCATTCGCCCATTCTGCAGCAACTATGCAATCCCACTGCATATGGTCAAAAAGGCTGACGGCAAATGGTGACCGTGCGGTGATTACAGGAGGCTCAATTCGCAAACAACGCCCGACCGATACCCGATACCTTACCTGCAAGATTGCTCATCGATGCTAGACGGGTAGCAAATTTTTAGCATAATAGATCTGCAGAAAGCATACCACCAGCTTCCGATTCATCCAAACGACGTTCATAAAACGGACATACCGACAACGTTTGGCCTATACGAATATTTGTACCTGCCTTTCGGCTTACGAAACGCAGCACAATCCTTCCAGAGGTTGATCCACGAAACGCTTCGAGGGTTGCATTTCGTATTCGCATATGTCGATGACATACTCATCGCGTCACGAGACTACGAACAACA